GTTAATCAATACAATTCATTACACTAGATCCGATTAATCTTCTCTAGTTATAATTGCCAAATCAAACTAAAGGGAATTAGGGGTAAAGTGTGGGGGGAAAAATCTCCCCTTCCAATTAAGACAAGACATATCAGCACATAAGGGGACCACCACAAATACTGAGACTATTCAACCTTCAAATTGGGCCTCTACAAGAAGTTTGGGCCAGGTTAACTAAGCATAATGGGCTGAACTCATTAAGAAGGCCCGAGATGATAAAACCCCAAACCCAATTACGAATATGTTACTAAATCCATTGTTAGTAATAGTTCTATTAGAAGTAGAATTATAATCTATGGAAATCAAATAATGTAAATCCTTGTTATAAGGAAAGCATGATGTGATTCAGATTCTTAAGGGACAAGCAATGCGAGTCCTAAAAGGAATCGATTATGGTTTTTCCTATATAAAAAGGGCTCAGGACCCTCAATAAAGGAAACACAGAAAAAAGGGTAAAGCTCCCAAAAATAGAGATCCAATTCTCATTGTCAGAACTACGTTCCGACCTGATTCCCACGCTCCATGCGGGATACGTAGGCAATCTAGGTAATCTTAGATTCGGTCATATCATCAAAATACCCCCTCATCTCTATATAGTTTCTCTAGTTCATTGTTTGTTCTATATTATTATTTTGGGTGTAATAATTGTAGAGATTTCGTTGACTTGTCAAAGTCGAACGAATTTTTGTACTTACAATTACTCTGTTAATCAAACAATTTTATTCCAAGACATGATAACATCATATTAAAGACTTAAAGTTGTTATTATCAAATATGGTAACATCATATTAAATAATATTAGGCTTAATTCCACCTACACCCCCTGACGTTTGCTTATATTCCACTTACACCCCCTCTACGTTTCATAATTCCACCTACACTCCTTGTCAGTAAACACCGTCTAGTTTTCTAACAGAAATATGTGATTTTACTTTTTTCCCATGAATTATATATTAAAATTTATAACTTAAATGAAAAGACTTAAATGCCCTCTATTTAGCTCTCTTTACACATAGACACATGATGTAAATACCGGTGACGGTGGAGATCGCTTCACCTCTGTAACTTGTCAAAGATTGTTTCACCTAAGTTGGATGGCGATCCCAAGTTCTGTGAAGTTCAATTCAGTCCGGCGGAGCTCGCAATGGAAGACGGTAGCTGTGTTAAGAACCCATGGTGGTCGTGTATGGTTGCACCTCATTGATCCAAAAACCAAGGATGGTAAGGCAACACGACAGGAATCTCAGACGACGGCGACTCCTTTTGTGACGCCAACTCTTGTCGTAACTCTACCGCCCTCTTCAACCAAACCCAGTTCAGTCCGGCGAGCAACAATTCAATCATACCAACCTTGAATCTCGGTGTTGTTAACGGCGGCAGACGGTGAAAACAGATCTAATATCCCATTGTTGTCGACGGTGATGGTCTCCCGATTGTTGATATTGGCGGTGAGGTGTGTCACCATTAGGTACAGAAGCATCCGACGAAGGCTGTAGGGCAAGCCCTCGGTGAAGATACGTGATCCCAAATGCCAAAAGTCTAAAGTTTGGATCGGGAAGTAAAGCAATTCTGAACTTCCTTCTTGAGGCCGGAAAGTTGTATGACACGGCGGTGTAGTGGGATGGCCAACGTGAAGTTTGTTAGGATCGTCGGTGGTGAGCAAGGAAGATGCCGACGGTGATGAAGTGCGACAGAAAGTCGTATGTCTAAGGTTCACTTTATTTAGGGATTTGTTTCGAATTTCCAGCCTGTAAAGCCCAAAAAACTGATTAAGATCAGCACAAGAAGCTCAAATCAAGGTTAATTTTCCTTCATCTTTAGTGTTTCCCACATCCAATTGGTCCTAGTTATAATGTAATTTGATATTTTAGTTTTTGAATTTCCTCTTTTAATACTTTTTCTAAAAACCATGTATTTAGGATTGATTTGCTTATAATTTTGGGTCTCTATTAACTGATCGATGTATATGCTTAGCTTCGCCAAAAAAAAAATCTGAATAATGCGTGTTCATACTTCTTATTGTTGTATCACTCAAATAATTTGAAACAAAAAAAATTAGCAAATTTGGTTGAAAAATTAATGGGTTTTGCCACTATCTCAAAAAACCACCGCCACTGCCTTTCTCAACCTCCTCCTACGACCCAACAACATGCTCCAGTCCAATGACGCTACAAGCGTGCTTCAATGTGGCCAAACAACAACCCATCAACGTGCTTCAGTACAGCGACGCTACAAGTGTCCTCATTCCACCTCGATGAAACCCAGTTCAAGATGGCTATGGACTCGCCGGACATTTCATTCCCACCAAACAGTCCTGCCACTAGCAGAAGAATTAAAGATTGGTGTAGGCAGTGATGGTAATTTTGTAAATTTGCATTAGTCAATGAGGTTAAAATTTTCATTTCAAGTATTGGAAGAGCAAAATTGACCTTATACCGATTTGTTCATGCTAACACCGTCAGTTGCTTAACGGCAGGGGTATTTTGCTACATAAATCAAAACCTCAAGGGAGATAGGTGGAATAATGAAACGTAGAGGGGGTGTAAGTGAAATATATGCAAACGTCAGGGGGTGTAGGTGGAATTAACCCATAATATTATTGTAAAATTAACAATAAAAGTATTTAAAAAAAAAAAAAAAAAAACTATCCCAAGATATGGTAACATTATATTAAAGTTGCTATTATCAAATATGGTAACACCATATTAAAAAATATTATTATAAAATTAACAATAGATGTATTAAAAAAATATTATTACTAAATAAATTTAAAAAATAATGTAATTGTTAAAAATATTTATTGTAATATGTTACTAAACACTTCATATATTTTTTACTAATGATAATTTTTTTTGACAATTACATTAATAAAAAGTATTTTTTTCTATTTTAACTGCAATCCCAAATGGACTCTAAGTAGTAATCCAATTGTGATAAGAGTACAAGTCAGATAAATTAATACCATAGCATTCTGTAATAGAGGAGTGACCATGATTTGGAATACTTTCTCCTGAATCTGGTTCTATTCAATCTCTTCAAATAAGTATTATTTACATGCATGATAGATGTGTATCTGTAGATATAAATCACATAGGTATCCTACATTTTAACTCAGTGGAGATCTACAAGATCTCTTATAACTTTATATATAATGTTATATCTATTTATTTATTTATATATATATATAGATAATTAAATAATTCTATACATATATGTGACCGGAGGTTTGACTGTAATTTCTTGCCATGCCCATTGATGTCCACAATTAAATGTGTGTGTGTATATATATATATATATATATATATATATATGTAATATATTCATTTTTATCAATATTGATTTGAACTCCAAATTAGAGCTGTCAGTGAATGACTTGAGAGCTATGAAGCACGGACACTCCTCTCAGGGGTCCCGTACCCGTGTCGGATACTTTTCGGACACCGACACCCGTGTCCGAGGTTCGGACACGTGTCCGACACTTCTGTAAAGTGTCCAAATATTATTTTTTATTGGACACGCGTGTCCGAGGCTCGAACACACGGTCCGACACTTTTGTGAGACAAAATTTATTTTCTCTCACTCATCTCAGTCTCTCATCTTCTTCAATTATCTCTCTTCATGAACAAGATATATATATATATATATATTTAAGTTATATGAACAAAACTTTGTGAAAGACTGAAAGTATATATGTTTATTCATATACATATTTAGTTCATTATAGTTATGTCTCTTCTGTACATCTTCGTTTGGAATTTGGATCAACTTTATTTTTCATTTATTTTCTGTTTTGTCTTGTCCATATTGTTCTTATAACAGAGATGAAATTATTGAAATTGATTCTGTTCTTTGTTATTGTTTTATTTATCTGTACAAGATTCTAGTAATTATTTTTGAATATATAATTATATATATATATAATTTTATAGGCATATCCCCGCCGTGTCCGTGTCCTATTTTTTTGAAATTTGCCGTGTCGCCGTATCCGTGTCGTATCGTACCCGTGTCCCGTATCCATGTCCGTGCTTCATAGCTTGAGAGAGAGAGAGAGAGAATGGGACACAGAGAATTTAGTGATATTTGGATTACATCATTTTGTCATGAATATTTGTATACTAAAATTTGGTCAACCATGTCAAGGGTAGTTCTAAGGATGTTATTTCAATTAAGGGAACTAGGGAAGACAAGTATGGCCATTTTAAATAATAAAAAAAAAATTCTAAATAATAGGAGAGTGGTTGAGTACACATACTTAACTTAAAGGGGAGGTCAAAGTAATAAAGATTAAATGATTTATTTGGAAATAATTTCTACCACGAGTAAAAAGATTATATAGTAGACTTGGTGTGTGTACTCTGACACTCAAATACTTCGCTTGAGATTTGAACTACTGAGTTAGGCTACTAATCTATTGATATAATTCTACTTTTTTTCATTTTAAAAGATAGAAGTTTGAAGTTTTTTCAAATGCATTGTCGTTAATTGGAAGAAAAGGTTCAAAAAGCAACCATTCAAATAATTCCTTGGCTCTTCCATGTATGCTTTGCACGTCATACATAACCCACCAGAAGAACCTTTTTTTTGTGCCTAGCAATAGCTTGACAACCAACCACTAAACCAAACCCCATCAAATGAAGTACTAATGTGCAGCCAAGTGCACAGAATACTTGTGTCCCCAGATGATCAGCCCACAACATCAAACAACTTCCAAATCCTAGCCAAAACCATCACAACTAGTCTCATCCATACCACAACCACCACGTGGAATTGGATTCTTATAGCCCAGACAACTACACTTACCCATCTGTACTCAAGGCTTGTACTCACTTGCAAAAGGTAAAGAAGTACATGCCCACATCACAAAAATAGGCCTAGATGGCCACATTTATGTAGAAAATGCTCTTATTCATTTACATGGCTCCACAGTACAGATTACCGATGCACACCTCGTGTCTGACACTATGTCTCAGAGAGATATCACAAGTTGGAATACACTTCTAGCCACTTACAGCACAAAAGTCGGGTCACAGTCCGAAGTACTGCCTCTGTTTCGAGGAATGTTGCATGAAGACATTCGAGCAAATGAGGTCACTTTGGTGATTTTAGTTACAACTTGTGCACAAGTAAGAGGGATAGAGTACGGTAGGGCAGTCCATACTTATGTTCTAAAAGTGGGATTCATTTGCTACTTGAATTTGGAGAATGCACTGCTAGGTTTGTATGCCAAGTGTGGGGAGATGAATGGGGCGCGAAAGTTGTTTACCCAGATGGATGGTAGGAGTGATGTTGTGTCACAAACGATTTTGATCAATTGTCATGTGGAAATAGGGTTTGCAGATATGGCTCGTGGTATATTTGATCGTATGGTTGACAGAGACATAGTTTTGTGGAACTCAATGATTCATGGGTATGTAAAGGGAAAGCGTCCAAATGAGGCTTTAGCACTTTTTAAGAAAATGGAGAGTGGAATGGTGAAACCGGATGAAACCACTATAGTTTGTGTTCTTGCAGCTTGTGCTAGCGTATCAGACCTGCAATATGGTAGATTTGTTCATCGGTTTGTCCTCCAAAACAATACAAGGCAAGACATTTTTGTCAAAACAACTCTGATTGACATGTACACGAGTTGGGAAGTTTGGATGCAGCCATGGTGATTTTCTACAAGATGGAAAAAATGATGTTTTTACTTGGACAACAGTTATTGAAGGGCTTGCAAATTATGGGCACAAAAAAGAAGCTTTGAGGTTGTTTTTTCAAATGGAGAAACATGGAATTAAGCCGAATGAAGCAACATTTGTTTCCGTATTGGCAGCATGTAGACAATCGGGGCTAGTTGAAGAAGGCTGTTTTTTGTTCAATAGAATAGTAGGGTTATACAATATCCAACCAAAGATCGAGCACCTAGGCTGTCTGATTGACCTCTTGAGCAAAGCCGGACTCTTGCACCCTGCGGAGGATTTTATCAATATCATGCCAGCTGACGAAAGACTCGTAGCTTACGAAACTCTACTTAGTGCTTGCCTAAGTTATTCAAATATTGATCTTGGATCAAGGGTTGCAAATGAACTTATTAAGTTGGGTTCACAAAGCCATGAATTTTATATCCTGCTATCAAACTTCTATGCTCTAGCAGGAGAATGGTCATATGATGAAGGAGCCAGGCATCAGTTCGATAGAAATGAACACTGATCTGAAGATGTTTCAGCAGCAAGACAGTCCAGTCTAAGCAACAGGATGAAGAACAGAGCATATTTTTACTAAATGGATATAGGAAGAATACAACCTGAAAATGCCGGGGAGCTAAGAAAACCGAGCAATAGGAGAATAAAGAATAGAGCAAGTTGTGCTAAATGGATAAAACAGAGACTGCAAATGGTGGGAAACTAAACCGGAGTTTATAAAAGAGGGTTCATGAAGAACTAAGAAGGCCATTACCCAAATTGGTCTGGGTAATCTCGGTTTTATAAAGAATGATGAGCTCGATGTTGGAAAATTATGGTGAAGGTGAAAAACTGATGCGGTGTACCAAATGATATGATCATAGAATTAGACAGTTGACCTACCAAATGTGATATATTATAATCTTTTCTCTTCAAGGCAAGAAGGTCAGTTTCAAGAATAATTTCTGCAATACCCTAGTTTACTCGTATATAAATTCTTCATTTTCTTGGGGATGGCATTTAAAAAAAATGACTCTCAAAACATAGAAACTCCATCGTGAACAAATTATTAGTTTCCAATCTATATTTTTCATTAATGTTGATAATGAAATTCACCAATGAAGGTCCCTGTTATTATTTATTAGAGTTGAACCATTTGAACAAACTCAAAACTGTTCTTGCCTTCATCCGATAGTGAAACAGATTGAAATCGACAAAAACACGTGAACTATCGTTGGTTGTAATTGTATCTGTAAATTTACAGTTCACATGACAATACCTAAAGTTGGATTGCCGACAAAAGATTAAAACTTGTTCGCAGTAAATCTTTCATTATACTATTTTAGCCTTAAAAGCTAAACAACATCGCGAGTGTCCAAAATTCTAACTAGATTTTTGACAAGAGAGCTGATCACCGTCACCTAGTTGAAGTCTCCTTAGCAATTTCAGCATCAAACACCATGAGAAGGTAATTACAAGCGCCAAACTTCGACCTCCCAAAAGTCCAACAAGAACAATCAGAAAGAGAATGATATACCCTGAATTTCTCTGTGTTTCCCTCTTCTCCTCTTCCCTAACTGCAATTTCTTGCACCTCCGAAAGCAACAATTCACCAGAACAACAAATCACAACACTTGATGAAAACAATAATGATACGTCCTTGTTTTCTTCTTCTTGTTCTTGTTCTTCAGATATGACTACTCTGCCATCTCCAACACAATTAAATTCTTCACTTTTCAAATCATTCATTTTCTTCTTCGAAGAACTACAAAGCTTTTTCTTAACAAGTTTCTTAATCTTTGATTTTATCTTAGTACTACGAGAAGGTCGCCTTTTGAGTTCCACTACATCACTTGTATGATCCTCTTGCTTCTCACTAACCCCCTTATTTGTATCCAATTTTTCACATCCCCATTTCCTGTTGCAATCACTCATTTCAAATTCAGAGTTTGGTTGTACAATCTCAATTTCTTCAACTAGTGGATTCAACTCACGACTAACTAAAACAGAGAAAGCAGAGACACCAGTCTCTTGTTCAATTGGCAGCTTCAAAACCCTAGTCACTTCTTTGTCCACCACCTTGTCGTGACTGTTTCGCAGCCGTTGGATCAGCAAATTGAATGACTTCTGCGAATTCAAACACTGTTTGAATAATTTAGGCAATTGCTTGCTAGCAAATTCCAAAAACATTAGCAACAAAGCCGAAATGGTAATCCAGATCGCGAACTTCTTTGTACCCAAAGCCAAAACCACCACGACTGCCATTTTCAAAACCGCCATGGCAATCCCATTAAGCATCAAATTCACTGGTGAGAGAGGGTTCGAGATTACATGAAAGAATTGAAGATGATCATCTTGAGTTGTTAATGGAGGATGGTGTTGGGGAACTTTTGAGAGAGATGACGGTTGATGCCTGGATGGGCGGGTGTGAACTGGACGAGGTGCATTTAAGCAGTGTGTTCAGTGTTGTCTTGCTTTGTTTCGGAAGTGACGGGTGTGTTGGTTTATTTTATTTTTTTTTTTTTTTTTGCCGTTTGTGTCGCTGACTTTGATTCTGACAAGACCGTCAATGGACCAAGAAAAGGAAAGAAAATAATAATGGCGTTATTGGGGCTCCGCCTACACTTGTCACTATTAATTGGTCAGCAAAAAGTTTACATGGTTTATGTCAGTGGGAGTGTCTCGGACTCCCACTCTAATTCTCCAATATTGACTATTGTGCCACTTACAAAATTAAATACGGTTTTATTTTTCTGTATGGTGCACCACAATCAATAACAAAATCAATACTTTATTCTTTTCAGAATGAGTGTCATGTAATTTTTTTTTTTTTTTTTTTTAAACAATATGTTTTATATCTTTCTATATATATTTTGAATATTCAAATTAAAAGGACAATTTAATAACTTTTCAGGTAAACAATGCAGGTCTCATATATTCTCTTAAAAATTATTACTTTCCAAAAGCGACATTTAAATTAAAATAGAGAAAGAATCATCTATGCAAGTAATACTCAATCAACATTAAGTTACACCAAACATTTTTATATAGTTTAGTTAAGTTACACTTTTGATTTATTTTGCATAACTCTTACATATAAGTTTGCAACAATTTTTTACCACGTGGATTATGTTTGTGTTTGAGTGTGTGTTTTTTTATTTTTCTGCCCAACCATAATGTTATCTTATTTTATTATAATTTAGAAATTAAGATGATAATTTTTTCACTTGTTAAGATAAAATTTGATACATCTGATTTTCTTCTTAGACATTATTTGTTCGGAGTAGATTGTAAGTGAGGGAGAAGCGAAAAAGATTCTCCGGGAGGGTGTTTTTGTTTTTGTTTTTGCATTTTTATTTTATTTTTTTTTTAATTTTTTTTTTAAGAGTGAATGTAACTTTTCATGGAGGGCAAAAGGGCCACTACAGCTGGAAAAGGCCAAATTGAAGATGATTTTAATTTGATGTAGATAGTTTTTGCTTATGTTGGCTGTTTTCAATTTATAACTCATGTTCAAATTTCTTGAGTCTTATTTGGTTTTTTTTTATTCACTTAAACTATTGCAATGTACCTAGTTCTGATTAAAAATTCATTTATTCATTTTCCTTATTATCAACTAACTTAATTAGGCTTCAAATAACATAGAACTTTGTATTCACAATCATATACCCCAATTTGGTTGCAGACTCTAAAAAAGATTTTAATAATCATAAAAATATAGAAAAATATTTAAAAAAATTCAACGGACTAATCTTAATCACACATAATAGAAGACCGTCACTTTCAGTTGTTAATTGTTACCGTCCATGTTTGGTGAAGACAAATATTTCTGTTATTTTTTAACTCAAAATAGCATATGCACCAAGACAAATATATCACATACGAACGGGGCAGCCTCAGGCGAGTTAGGGTATAGTGAATTTTTCTTAATTTAAAACGATACAGTTTTTAAAATTTAGTAAAAAAAAATTTTTATTTCAAAACGGTGTAATTTTTAACTTACGTGTCATTCTATAGGGAATTCAACTTACGATAACTTAGATGTTGTTTGATAAAACTGAAAATTATGTACTAAAAATCTTAAGTATTGAATTTTAAGAGCTGAAATTTTAAGTGCTGAGTGTATTAATTTGAAAACCCGTTTGACAATGTTTTAATTTTAAGTACTGAATTCATTAAGGTTGTTTGTTATATACAAAAGTTAAAGTCTGAAAGTTATACATATTATATTTTTGTGCTCAATATATGATACTCATAACAATTTTATATTTATAATATAAAATTATTAATAAAATAACCACATTAATTCACTCAATGAAATATATCAATTTAACGATAAATAATAATGTCAAATAATCATTAAAAAATAAAATTCTTATCTAGATATAGAATTATATTATATAAATAATTGATGAAAATTTAAAATATATGGATTTTGGATTACATAACATTTATGTAGGATATCAAAAAAGGTGCTACAAAGATTAAAGAAAGTAAAATTTAAAATATATTTATTTTTAATTACATAATATTTATGTATGATATCGAAAAGAGTAATACGAAGAAAGTATGTGAAAAAGAATTCTTATCCAGGAATAGAATTTTATTATATATATAAGTGATAGAAAATTTAAACTATATAGGTTTTGGATTATATAATATTTATGTACGGTATCAAAAAGGATATTAAAAATATTAAAGAAAGTAGGTGAAATTAAAAGAATTCTTATCTAGAAATAGATTTTGGTATATAAATACTGGTGTTAAATAAATTTGAATAGGTAACCAAAGAGATGTGTTTTATAATATAATACGTAGAATTATTATTATTATTTTGGGAATTTAGTAAAATTATATTTCTTTTAAGAATTTGTTCTATAATGTAAAAGTTAAAAAAAAAAAAGTAACAACCAACCAAATATATATAGAAGAGTTTTTCAATGAGATAACTCACACTATTTCCAGATGCAGAGAGAACTCGCAAAGAGAATTTAAGGGTGATTATTTAAGGGTGGAGTAGTCATTAAAAAATAGTTTTAGACATAATCACTTGCCGCCTTCTACGATTAGCAACCCTCCCCTGCTTAAAATTTTGGTCCCTTTTAAGCAGTACCTACCATATTAAGCGGTATCCTAAAATTTTATCAAACGCACTTATTCTTAAAAATCATTCACCGTCTTCTTTATTCAGCGCTGAAGTAGGAAATCAAACAAGCCCTTAGAGAATATTTAACTTAGAGGATCCAAGTCTAGATTTAATAGTGCGCTTAAAAAAATTCTATCAATTCTCACCTTTATTTGAGGGCTCCATTTTTTAATTACGTGTCATTCCGTAGGAAATTCAACTTACGATAACTTAGAAAATGTTTCATTTAGAGGATCCAAGTCTAGATTTAATAGTGGGCTTAAAAAAATTCTATCCATTCTCACCTTTATTTGGGGGCTCCATTTTTTATCTTTATATATTAAAACTTTTTTAAAAATTTTATTTCCTTCTATTATTAAATCTTAACCAATAGAAAGATTTAATAAGGGCCTAAAAGATTTCTATTCTTATTCGACATTCATCTTTATATATATATATATATATATATATATATATATATATATATATATATTCCCATGATCATTACACCCATATATATTTAACGTTGTAGTGTGAATTGGTGAAACTTTCCATATTCTTCCAAGACTCCTACTACATATTTATTTTTATCTTCTTCTTTTATTATTATTTTTATTTATTTATTTATTTTTTATTCCTCACATATTTTCTCACTAAATTTTGTGCAAACTTTATTCTATTGAATATGGACCGAATTTTTTGAAATCAGATTATGTTGTACTATAATTTAAATTATTTTATAGTGTTGTTAATTTTGTTATCATAAAATCATAAATTTTATTTGTGAGTTGTAATAAATGTTTCTATTTGTTATTGAATATGTTTACTAAAAAGTATGAATCCAAGTGTGAAAAACTTAAAAAAGAAGAGAAAAATAGATAAACTAATTAAGTCTGAAAAATGAGCTATTCATAAATTTGCTATAACTAATAATCAAAGCAATAAATGAACAACCAAGTTTTCTAGAGGAATTAGAAGAGTAATTATACATTAACAAAGAAGAAGATATTAGTGACAAAAAAATCTTTTTGAAAAACAACAACAAAAAAAGAAAGAAGAAGAAAGTGGTATAAAAAATCATATTCTATTCCCAAAAATATCTATGAACTTGGACAATGAAAAAATATTAATCCAAAAACAAGACATTTATTAGTAAAAAATAGTCAAATTAGAATTAATGATTTAATTATCCTAAAGATGAAAACTCTACGAACAGGCCAGTTGGTATCAAGCCTTTATTTCTCAAAGAGAGGTCAGGGGTTAGTGAAGGCATGTGTGTATGAGTACTAACTAGGAAAAAAAAAATTAAAAAAAAAAAAGATGAAAACTCTATGCATTTTTCAGCTACATATTATGTTCGAAAATTACCAATGGAAAGAAACATCATAGAAAATATCACGTGTATTCAAAAGATTTGGATATGGTGATTTATTTTTTTGTCACAAACTATTTAATTCGAAGTAATATTCAATTAGCTAACGATGAAACTAGAGAATGAAAAAAAAAACTGAGTAACAAATTTAAAAATTATAAAAAATTTTATAAGAATATTACTAACACACTTTATTTGTTTAGTCTTAAGCCACAAATTATATTGAGTGGCCCGGGCGTTATCTAATCAAATTAATATATTTCTTTCCCCTTGTCTCACTGTTCTTCGTAAAGATAAATGTTGGGGATTTCTTTGCATGTATAATGCCATAAAACATATATATACTATGTGTGTGTGTGTGTGTGTGTATATGGTATAAAATTATATATAATATCATATAATTTATAGATTATACTTGTAAGTCAGGGTTAAAGTTGAAGATAAACAAAAAGGCCAAAAAAAAAAAAAATTAATAAATCTGCATGATACATATTGGAAATGGTGGTACTTGGAGAAGCAAAATAGGGACTTTAACTTTCAAAAAAAATAAAAATAAAAATAAAAATAAAAATAGGGACTTTAACAAATAGGGAAAGTTGGAAACATGTGATATTGATGATGTTAGACCATGTTATAGCGTCATTTATTTTTTTAACAAGCCTAAAATTCTAATATTTTATAATTTATAATCAATAATTATAGTATAGTGGTATCTACTTGAGGAGGCCAGAAGTGACATGGGCCGGATATGACCCGCGAACATGGCATCCGGTCCGAGCAGCT